GGAATACTATTTATGCTATATTCAATATGTATGTGTATATGGGACACCCTGTATATATATATGTATATATATGTATATATATATATATATATATATATATATATATATATATATATATATATATATATATATATATATATATGTCCCATAGAAGTGATAGTACACCTTAAGAACACGAAAAAAGTTCAAATATAATATGATCTAATATCTCACAGAAAAGTTAATAATAAGCTAATAACTTCAATTGGTATTTGATGTTCTCTATGTTTTGTGGCATTAGGATTTACATTTCCTCGATTATGAGTATTTCTGAAATCAAATATCTCATTCCAGGCCAAGGTTACTTCTTAAGACAAAAATATTTTCCTAAGTTATAAGGAGTTTCTTGATTGAATTTCCAAATACAACATTATTCGAATACAACATTATTATCAAGAGGACATCAATAAAAATTTAATATAGCAGCTAATTATAATTATCATTCCTAAAATCAAAATCAAATCATATTGCTTTCATACTGCTTAATTATTTTCATGGAAATGTAAATACTGTAAGAAATGATTTCAGGGTATCCTCAAATACAGTAAGTTATGTATGAGCGGTGTTCACTATACCCAGTATATAACTTCGTGATCAGTTCATTATATATGAATACACACATACACAATGCTACTGGTATATCCACAAAGATGGAGAGGGGATTCTGGGCTGAAGCCCCCAAAATTGAAAAATATATGTATATATTTTTTTCATTGATTCCGTGAATGATCTGAGCTAAATAATCAAACAATCAGAATATGTAGTCTTTTTAAATTATAATGCATATACAGCTACTAGATGTAAGCATGTGTAAAGAAAAAAATATAAACATTTATCCCTAAAAGAATTATTATTTCTGTAATTAATTTTTGTTTTTGCAAGCCTTGAAGGACCATTCAAACATCATTTTATATAGTTTCTTTTTTGTCCACTGTAATTACCATATAATTTAAAAAATAAAATAAAAAAGGACCCCCCAAAAAATTATATTCTGAATCCACTACTGCCCAATCCATACATATGTATGTATAAACTTAGTGAAGTTTTCACTGTGTACAAGTAATTTAAAATTTTGCTTGATGGAAAGAATTTTTAAGAGAACATTTTAGAGACCAGAATATGACATGTCATTTAAAATAGTAGAAGTTAATTTGGGAGGATTCCTTGAGATTCCTTGAGGAGTGAACAAAACAGTTAGCTGTAGAGTCTTTAAACATCAAAGCCCAGGTCTTTGAAATAGTCAAGATTGTGTCAATAACCAATATTTTATTCTGAACATTATTTTCTTTCATTTCTATGATTTTCTATAGCAAATTTTTTATGAAAGTCCACCTTAACAGAAACTATAATTCCTTGGGGCATAGATTATACAGATGTAGTATTTGCTGCCATAGATATGAGTTTTAATTGTTTTAAATTGTCAACTTCAGGGTGAACTAGACAAAAGTTGAATAAGGATGTCTTCTTTCTTGACTTTCACTACATTGCACCATTTTCTTGTCACAGGCTAATCATACCATAAGTAAATTTTGCTCAGTGCTCTAATTTTTAATCAAATAATAACATTTTCAACTTAGCTGCAAAAAGCACAGTTAGTCTACTCTTGGAAATTTTATTCCCAATTAAATATGAAGGAATAAATAGAAGTTGGACTGTAAAATGTCTATCTCATCTGTATTAAAACTTTGATCTTCAGTGTAGCCTTCTTTAATTTTGTGCCAGAATTAATCAAGCCTCTCTCCAGTCAAAATCTGACAAACAGTATCTGACCCACCTGTAATTTTCCATAGACTGTGTCATGGAGAGATAAGAATCATTGTATCCATGACATACTGCACAGAAATTTTCTTTTTTTTAAAAAGATAAGTTGGCTCATTGATAAGTTATCACTTTGAATTGACAGAACCATTAATTTTTAGTAAGGTCATTGTGTGAACTTACTTAAAAGAGTGATTTCTAAAATAGCTCTTGTATTTTTCAATTTCCCTCCTCTTTGTCTTCTAAAATTCATCGATGTCTTCATTTCGCTATACTGTATAGAAATAAAAATTACATTTTGGCTTGATAATAATATTGAAATGAGAATATAATTGAGATCTTGGTAAAAAGCCCTAGTGCATTAACATTTTGAGTGATAATTTTTAAATATTTATTTGTTTAAAAATCAGTATCATACACATATTTTTTATTAATGAAAAGGGTACTTTAGTAATTAATTTATTACAGAACATCCCAGGTCTCAGGAAAAAAATATAAAAGCTTTGTAATAATTTATTGTAATTATTTTGATGAAAATTCTGGTACTTTGAGGAGACAAAATTTCACACCGCATAATTATTTTTTTTACAAATTTGCAGGCAAACCTCAGCTTATTCTGTAACAAACCTCAACTTAATTATTAATGAACTAAAGCTTATTAAACAAGGTTGATTTATTAAAACAAGCTAAAATTGGGAAATTAGTATTCCAGTAGAAAGCACATTAAAAATATGGATAAGAGAACTTAGGGTTATTTACTTTAGTCGTTTATAAGCTCTCTTAAAATAATTTAAACAAATTTCACTAATTTAAAAATAATTTTGTCTAGTGTTATAGTTGTAGTAATATAGTTTAACTATATATTTAACTATATCATTCACAGCTTTCTATTCAAGAAAAACTGTGATTTAGTTAAAAAATATATAAAACTTAAATTTATTGTGTTTCTGTGAGAAATTTATTGTCTATGTCAAAGGTGGAGAACCTTAGATATTAAAGGCCGCATTTAGGTTGGACAGAAACATATTTTTTTTTATATTTCACTGCTGCACTGTTATTTGATTAAGCATACATACAGAAAGATTAATTTTCATTCATGCAGTTAAATGTTTATTATTTAAATATCAATATAATTAAATATTGATAGTTTATAATAAAATCTTTTGATGAAAGCCATGCAAAAACGCACCCTCTCATTCTTCACCAATGGTTAGTATGAACTATTTTGTTGCCCTTTAGGTCGACTATCACCTCTTTAGATATAAGCAGCTATTAATGGAACACCCTATGTATATGTATATCAGGGCAAGTATAAATAACTTTTTTTTTTTCATAACGTTATGCAGCAGAAAACGGGTTTATATGTAAAACACATAGTGAAAAAAAAAACATATTAAAACCAATGTAGCACAATAACCCTAAATTTTAAGAAATAATTAATATTTGTTTAATTATTTAGAATAATTTTTAAAATATTTTATCAGGAACTAAACTTTTAAACTAAAATTTAAAGTTTCTTTTAAAACTAGAAACATTTTTAAAAATGTAATCTTTCTTAAAATATAGGTTTAACTTATTCTTAAGATATTTTATAATTTAAAAAGTGATTTACCCATCTTTGAACTTGGTATTGACAACCTTGAAAAAAGAATATTTCTAATAAAACCAACTTTTTACTTAGCCTGATGACTTGTAATCACAGGTGGATCTACGGAGGGGAGGGGAGGGGAGAGGGCTTTTGGGCTGAAGCTCCCTCCAAAATGGTAAAATGTAACCATATTTTATTAAAACAAATATTATAAAAAAGTATTATTGTTCCTCTAATTACATTTAATTGGACCTCAAGAACCAATAAAACACCATTTCATACCGGTAGTAAGTTTCTTTTTTTTCCAAAGTAATTATCATTATATATATATATAATGAAGCCCCCACCCATAATTAAATCCTGGATCCATTAGTGCTAATATCTAACATGTACTTAAAAGTACAAACTCTTAAAACATGGTTATCAACGAGAGTTCTGCTTAGAGACTTGGACAGAGGTCAAAGTGCAACTGAATACAAAAATGGGCTCCATGAGCCAGTATAAAGAAAATAAAATGTATAGCTAGATCAACACCAAGAAGTGGCCCTGGAAAAGGCAGGAGAGATGCTAGCACAAGAAACTCGGTCAGATAAACATCAGCAACAGTCCCACAATGGGATATTCAAGATTCGTACACCTAAATCTAGATCAACTTTGTCACTTTAACCATATCCACAGCCTTAATAAGTACCACCAAATTCATTATTAACCAATTAACCGCAAAATAAAATAGTTTTGGCAAACACCTTAACTTGAGAGCAACATGTTTCATATATTTTACATTCCATTTTTCTATTAATTAAATTATTTTCTTAATGCTACCTTTATTTTGATCAATTGTTAAATTAACACCCCTTCTGATTAAACCAGCACCTAGGTCATGTTCAGCTCCTCCCTATCTCTGTGGTACCTGGCTCAGTGGTGGTCAGCCTTATGTGCTGTTCAAGTCATGTTAAACAACGGAGAAAGGAACATTTATAAATTTCTGGACCATAAGAATCTAGTTGAATGGTTTTATTAGAACTATTCTTCTTTCCATTTTACCTACGCCAAGGTTAAATGACAGTATGTCCCTTTATAAAAATACTTTAAGATCAAATAATTAAAAAAAAAAATACAATATCTTGAAGTTTAGAAACAATATGCTACTTGAGAAACCAATTTTTTTATCTCAATGCACTTTTCTTATCCACCCAAGAGGCTTAAAGACCTTGAAAGTTTAAAGAACTTTTTTTTTAGCTCACCCTAGCATCCAAACACACATACACACACACATATATATTTTTTACTTTGATATTAAACAAATATTTCAGTAGTTTCATGGGAATAAATTATTATTAAAAATGTCAATTAACTTTTTTTCATTAGTTGTAAATCAATCAGATATTTTTATAAAGTATAATGTAGATAAATACTGTAAGAATATGATCATTCGTCAAACAGAAGTATCTGACATGCTTAAAAACAGTAATAATGATATTTTACTAAGAATAAAATGCATTCTCTGACACTCATAGTATATTAAATGACTGACTACACATCATTTCATTTGTTTTTCACAATGATATACATTTAATATCAATAAACATTTAAAAAACATAACTATTAACACTTATAAAAAAGGATATTAAATCTCAAGCATTTATTAATGCTCATACAAGGTGAAATAAATACATATATCAACATTTAAATTATAACAACTCACAGTAAATATTTCATTAACAACAGATAAATATCATTAGTTATTTCAAAAACATACACATATACATATATATACACAGCCTGAGTCATAACATACCTATTTAACAAACATTTGTGTATTTTCTGTATGTTTTGTATAAATTTTGTTTTGTATGTTCCACAATTTTTCATACACTGCTTGCATGGGTGTGTGCATGACTCCCATCTGGCTTTTTTTGATTACCAGTTTTGATGGTAAATGTTACGAAATACCTCTTACTTTTATCTAATTTCTCTGTGGGTAACGTGATGACTTGCTTCTCTGAGCCATGACTGAGTTCTAAAGTCAGAGGTCTAGACGGATCAACAAAACGCAGGGTTTTGGCGAGTTCGCTGTGACCTTCTTCATTTACTAATTTTGGAAGAAATGATCCTGGTTTTGGCATAGTGTGATGATTTTTCTTTACTGAAACAAAATAATTCACAAAAATTATATTATGATCAAACTAATGTTCTATAAAACTAAGCAGAACTGCTGTGTACAAATAAAAGATCATCTATTGAGTATACTAAAAAAAATATTAAGAATATTACTTTTTGATAAATTGAAAGATATTTTCTGTTAGTTTATGGACGATTAAAAAACTTGGGTTGTTTTCAATAAAAACAATTAAAATATAAAAGAATACCCTTTTAATTCAGTCTCATTTTATTTGTTACATGGTGCTTTCGGTGTATTGCACCATATTCATCTAAAGCATTAGTATATATATATATATATACCTTCAATAATACATCATAATTCTTAATTATCAATTATATCAATTACTAGGATTTTGCAAATTCTATATACCTATTTTGAACCTGAATCCATACACTTGGATGTTGTTGTTCCAGCACTCCACATAACAAAAAATAAAATGAAACTTTTATTTTTAAACTAACATTTTTTTTAAAAACAAATGTTGACCAAGTAGCATCATAATAGATACTCAATATCACATGTGTTTTACTATATAGACACACAGAACCAAATTTTACCTTCAGTAATGATGGAGAAAAATAATCTTAAACTAAAAAACATATATGGAAGTAGGAAATTTTTTAAGAAAACAATCTTTTCACAAAAATAAGCAAATTATAATAAATAATATAAGATTGGAAAAGTTTTAATACAATGAAGAAATGAAAAAAGTTCTTTTTAAACTTATATCTTATATCCTCTCCTGTTTAATTAAAATTATTTCTAATTTAAAATGTGGTACAAAACACCTAGATAAAATTAATGAAATCCTATTGTTAATTTGAATAATACTATCACTCACATCTGTACTCATGCTACAACATTTTTATATACAGTTTAGTAGGATTACTTGGACTCTGGGGTGTAAAATGAACCAAAAATAAAAATATGTTGTTTTCGATTACATAAAAAAAAAACCTGTGCCATTTCAACCCACGAAGGGTCTTGGTTTCAGTACTTTGTTAGGAAGTAGAAGAAAAAGAAGAAGAAGAAAAATAAATTTTATTCTGGGAATAAGTCCTCTTAGAATAACTACAATGTACAATTTAATGACAATTATCTGGCATTAGGAATAAATTAAATTACATGATTGTCTAGATCTAAGACTACAATAAAGAAAAGGCACTGTTAGATATATGAAATCATTGATAAATTCAGATATGCGAGTTCACATATTTGTACACATAAATAATGTGGGTGATATCTGTCAAATAACATTAAAGCGACTGACAGGTCTGAAAAATGTGAAAATTATTTTACACATTTTTGGAAGATTGATTATTGAACAGATGGATAAATAAATTATGTTTAAATGAGGTCAAGGATGATGATTTGTGTAAGGAGGTTGGTAGCAAAACAAGGTAGCACGCATGACAAGAATTTCTTAAATGAAACAGTTATATGAGAAGGAATAAACAAGTTTGAGGGCTGGGATCTCGTGTTGAAAGAATGAACAGATCAACAAGGAGAATGTACAACGAACAAATCAAGAACATAAGAGGGTTTTTTGGTTGAAAAAGGAAAACACTTAGGAAGTATTGACGTAGGAAGACTGAATAGAGCCACTTCAACTCGGTATACCAACTGGAGATGTGGGAGCTCCTGGGGACTCCAAAAATGAATCTAATGAAACAATTCATTAGTCTCTTTAATCTTATCTCAAGCCCACTAGACAGTCAACCATATATAAGGCAGCCATAATGAGGGAAAATGAGTGAGGAAACTAGGAGCTGACGGATTTTAAGGAGCATGGAATCACGAAGTCTTAGGAACTATTTGAGGGTAGCAATGGATTTTCGGATTATTTGGGAAATATGGTTATTCCAGGACAGATTCTGATCAAACATTACCCCAAGGTTTTTAACGGAAGTGTGGAAATGGATAGGTAGGCCATTGAGGTAGAGTAGGGGATAATAAGGAGTGGAATTAATTAGATGCTTCAAACCAATGAGAATGGCTTTGGTCTTTTCAACTTTAAATTGTTGCTCACTGTCCAAGTGTTGATACTATCAATGTCTTCTTGAAGCCTTTAGAATGCCTCAAGCATCTTGGTAGAATGAAAGGAAAGGTAGATTTGGAGATCGCCAGCATGTAAGTGATATTGTGAATGATAGATGGAATCAGGAAGGTCGTTGATGTAGATGGAGAAAAGAGTTGGGGAGAGCGAAGATCACTGAAGAACACCGCGGGTTAGTAAGAGGGGGTATGAAGGAATTTCATTAGGTATGGTGACTGTTTGGGATCTTTGATACAATAAGGAATGGAACCACTTTAGAGCACTATTTGATATGGAAAGCTTTTTGAGTTTGGAAAGGAGAATTTCAAGATGGACTGAATCGAATGCTTTAGAAAAATCAAAGAGGACCAGGATAGTGATTTTCTGTTTGTCTATAGAGAAATGCAGGTCTTGCGTAATTTTCAACAAAGCAGACTGGGTGGAGAACTGGGATCATAAACCAGACTGGAGGGGATTGAGGAGAGCTTTTTGTTCTAGGAAGGTGTTAAGCTGTGCATGGACAATTCTTTCAAGAAGTTTAGAGAATAGAGATGGGTCTGAAATTAGGACAGAGGAAAGTAGGTCTTCTGCTAAAAGAATTGTAAAATAGAAATTTTCAGGGTCAAAGGAAATTTTTGGAATGCATTATATTCATTTATAGCAATTATCTGTAATTCAGTTATGTTTGTTTCTTCTTAAGGCGCAAATTTTTCCTTGTCTGATATCTGATCTTCACATAACAAGGGAGTTCTTCAAAGACATATGCTGCAACAAACTATTTGTTATTTGTTTATATTTTCCTTTAGTTGTGGATTTCCATACCAACTATGTAGCAAATAATTGATTATTTTTCTTCACCCTCTCTCTGCGGATGTCTAATCATGTATGCTCTTAAACGTGGAAACATCTTATTGAAATTGTTAGGTATCAGCATAATTTCAATGGTTTTATATTCACAATAATCGCGTAAAAAATTCTAGCCACTTAACACGTTTTTATTTTGGGTACAAGTTACACCCTAGGGTCTAGGTAAGCCCACTTTAAGGTACATTCATAAAGAGAATATGCAATATATAAAATACATAACATACTTTATTGTATGCTCTTTTACATACTATAAGCAGCACAAGGAATTCCAGTATAAGCATGTGTTGCATGATGGCATCTGTGAGTTTGATATGTACACAATGCAGGATTACTCGGAATAGAAGTGAGCATATCTTGTCCAACCCGAGTTTTTCTTAGTGCAGCAGTCAGCTTTTCTAGATCATCTGAAGATTTCAGTCGAGGTATAATTCTTCTTTCTGAAGACTGAAGTAGTCTTAGCTGATCTAGATAAACAAGAAAAATTATTAGGCTTATAATGTAATTAATTCTTGTCAAATCATATTTAATATTTAATCTGTATCATTAAAATAAAAATTGAATTAAAATGAAACTGTGAAATATAGAAATCAGCAAAATCTTTTGCATACCATATAAATACTTTTCAAAAGCTCTGAAGGTATAAACACCATTATACTGCTGAAGTCCCAGCATCAAACCAGCTCGTCGATAATCATCAACTAACCTCTTCACCAGAACACCTTCAGAAGCTCTACCAGCTCTGATTTGAAGACGTTTAAGTTCTAATAATTGATGAAATATCCGCCTTTCAAGATGATATCTTAAATTAAAAAATTGTATGTACAAAAAATATTTAATAATCCACCTATAATTTGTATTTGTCTACAGTTGCTGTATTAGTTAATGGGTATTTTTCAAAATGCATACCAAAATATGAAATCTAAAACCTTTACCACTACAACCTATTATAGGTTTTAGGATCAACACTCATGAGAAAGTCTATGGTTGTACAAAAAGGTGTTCAGATTAGGATCACACTCTAACTCCTATTTTTTTCTCCAAAAAAAATAGTAAAATGTCAGATACCCACTTTAAAGAGACTGGGCATTATCCAGTAGTTTCTTTCAACCCCACAGTCAATCTAAGAATTAGGCAGACAGATTATAAAAATGAATTCTACTATGCTGAACTTGAGCCTGAATATATGAGTAAGGTGCATAGTGCCATGTACGCTGAGATATCTTGCTCTTCAATCAAATGTAACAATCTTATAATCAATCCTATTAAACATTGTTTATTAATGATTAAATTAAAAAAAAAAACTAAAATAGATTCACAAATTAAAATTCTTGATATATTATAACAAGCTTACAATATTAATGTTTTTCAAATCTTATTTTAAATGACATTCCATTAATTTTTAAAATAATAATAATTGAAATGCAAATATTTTATGATGTTTTAACATTCAAAACGAAATATAATAAACCGGCAGTATAATCAAAATCAATTAAACTGTAATAGAAGTAATTTCACAGATAAATACTATTAATTCAATGTGATTATAATAAATAATATAAGAAATCTAAATTTTAAGTATTTTATTTAAATTATGAATTACCCCTTTCTTTTAACTTTCTATCTTAAGTGTCATAATTGTTGTCACAAGTTACAAGAATAATTACGAGTCTCATATTTTTTTAATCATAAGTTCCTCCTCTTTATGCCGAGAAACTTGTATTTTTCAGTACCTAGTATTCCATTTTTTCAAAAATTCAATATCATGTACTTAAAAGTTTAGCACCATCAAAAGAGTACTTAGTGAATTTTGCAATAAATACACAATATTTTTTTCCAAAATTGGCATTACAGTTTTTTAAATCTATACTGACAAATCTATTCATTATGAGATCCTTAAGCACTGCAGTAAAGTGGTGTATTTAATCTATACTTATTACAATATATTGCTATCAAATACTGCTTCCTAATTTTGAAAAAATTAATGGTAATATCAGATCCATGGGCTGTTATGCAACTTATTGTAAATTGAAAAAAAATATATATATAAACAAAATTAGACTGCAGGTATAAATATAATTTAAAATATATGCTGAATTGTTGAAAATTGAAATTATTTCACATGGACATGTTTCTCAATTAAATTATATCTAACCTATTTGAAACAATTGCAATATATAAACCTTTAATGATTTTTTTGTAATCAAGATGTTAAATTTAAAGTTCTAAGATTTCTTATCTATAGTCTGTTCTAACATGCAAGGAAAGTTAAATATCACACATACTTCCGAACACTGTACTGAACGGCTTGAGTAACTGAGACAGTTGGGATATCATTTTTTTTATCGCCATGTCCTTTGTTGCACATTCTGGGGATTCGACTTTTACCTTTGGAGTTGGCATCTAATCAAACAAATAAAATTAAATGAATTATTTACTCATTTTAAATTTAAATGAAAGACTAATCCTATGATTCAAGAAATTATTTGTTAATTACACAAAAATTATTTTGTTAATTTTCTCCACAAATATTTCATAGCTTTTCTACAAGAAAGCCTAAAAATTTACCTCAGTTATAGAAATTAATTCAACTTACTAAATTTATTTTTTTTACTTTTCTGGTGGTGATTTTATAAAGGAGTTATTTTGAGGACACCCATTGACTGCATAGAACCTCCATTATTCCCAACACCATTTCCAATAATTATACTCGCAGTAACTATGAGGGGGCAATACATTTTCATTATCTCTATGTCTTCCGAATTCCCAATGAAGACAAATAAGCTCTATTAAAAATTAGTAAGCTAACACAATTTTTTGAAATTTTAAGGTAGGTAGTGAAAGAGTTGTATTAATGTATCTATTCAAACCAATATGGAAAACAAAATAGTAATGCATCAAAAATATTAAACAAAAATTACATATTAGGAGTCCATGTTATTCAAAATTTTAACAATTTTACATTTTATATGTGCTCTTTTATAATAAAATATGTATTATTTCTCATAAAAATATATTTCAGTTGTAAAATTAAAAATGATTTTAAATGAATAAATGATTTCATTTTCAAAATATATGACTTATAATTTTAATCTGCTAATTTTTATTTTTTCATTACTTCCAATTTCTCTAAAACATATTTCTCTATAATAGGAACATCCATTGATTTCCCATACGTATTCGCTACAGGAGAAATTTTACTGTATATATGTATACATGAGGTTGAAAAACCAGATACTCTGGATGTGGAAATAGCTATAAAAGTAGAAGGACCAACAAAGAAGTGCTTACAGAAATTGGTCAATCTATGTATCGTGATATGAAACCATGAAGGCTAAGATGGGAGGGGAGTGTAGTTCAGAGCATTCCATTAGGTATCCTCTACACAACAATGAATACCTCAATAGTAGGCAAAAGACTAAGTGGAAGGCCAAAACCAGATGAATAGATCGAATCAACAAAGATACTGTATAGCTGCATGCAGATAATTGGAAAGAAATAGCTTTAGATAGGCAGTGATGGAGAAGGCTGGTTAAAACAGCAAAAGATCAACAAGGTCTGTAATACCAACCGAAAAAAAAAATTATAACACATAAATTATAAAACAGCTTCACAACTATATATGATTTTCCAGAAACAAACTGATAAAAAACATCTTTGAAAGTAAAACTGAATTCATACTAAAAAAAATCATAAACAATAAAAAGAGAAAATATAACAATAATATGTGCATAAAATATTTTGACTGTACCATACACATTAAGGTTTTAAAAATAATTAAAAGTATTTTAAATATAAAAAATATATATTATTTTTATCAAAAAAATAATGCAGGTGGTAAGTAATAATTTATTAATAATTAGTTATTGAAATGTATTGATAAATTATATTTAATATTTCATTTAATTGAAGTTTCATAGAGTTCTACTATTCTGATCATCTATTACAATAAAAAACAAGAACACTGTTACATTAAGAGAGACATGTCATGTTTATAACATCATTTTCTCAGGTTTTGTTGTACTAATGCTAAGGAAGTACTTTGACTATTACTAAAAGAATGAACTACACCGTTCTATTTATGGATAAAAACCTCATTTTTATAAGTACTAATGCTCACCTTGGTCATATTTTTCTTTCCTGGCTGCCTGTTCTGAGTCAATATCTTGAAGCAGTGGAGGTTCAGTTGGTGATCTATTACCAGAAAGATAACTATCTTCATCAATTTTAGGGGACATTGAACTGATTTCCCAGCTTTCGCTTGATCTTTGTTTCTTCCATTCTTTATGTTTAGATTTTATTTTTTCTTCTTTTTTAGCAGATGCAGGGAGTTTTTCATCACTTAAAACTTTTATTAAGCCACGATCTTTTTTAACATTATCTATTCTTTTTGATTTTGAGACATGGTGTTTTTGGGATCTTCTGTTATTTTTATTTTCAATAAACTTTTCAGAAACAAAATCACTTTTATAGCTGGCTTCTTCGTTACTTTCTTTTGGAACAACCTCTTTTACCATTGAATTTTCGACTGAACTTTTACTTCCAGTGTCATTTGATGATGATTCTTTATCACTTTTATGTTCTTCATTTAATATGCTGCTCTCATGTGTTTCTAATTCATTCCCAGTGAGGGTGTCATCTTGATTTGTTTTAACTTCATTAGAATCCTCTGTTTCTTCATCAAATATTTTTTCAGTTGAATCGTCAACTATAGTTTCATCATCATAACCTTTTTCACCTGTATCTTCGTCTTCTATATCAATATTTTCCTCAATCTGTTCTGATTGAATACCCTCTTTAGTTTGATTTCCATCTTTACTTTTAAAATTTTGAGAGTCTGTGCTAACATTTCCTTCTATTGTTTCTAGATAAGCTTCTTCTGACAGTTGTTGTTTCTCAAAATTAGAATTTTCTTCTTTTTCATTGCTAATATTTAATGATTTGTCAGTTTTACTTCCATCATCTTGCTCCATATTTTCATCTGGAAGGTCATTCACTCTTTCAATTTCATCCCGCCCAACCTGTTCATGGTTCTCATCCCCCGATTCTCTAGATGTCACTCCTTTTTCTTCTATTCCTTCATTTTGTTCAGATATGACGTCCGCTTTTGAATTTTCCATCACTGTTTCTTGATTTTCTTGTATGAAATCTTCTATATCGTCTGTTTGATTTTTCATATCAGTTTCATTAACTGATCCATCAACTATTTCACTAATTTTGTTTTCTTCATATGATATATTATTTTTTTCTTTTTTATCTTCTTCATTTTCAGCTTTAATACTTTGATTTTCTTGTAGTGATACTGCTTCTTCCCTTAATTCATCATTTTCCGTTTTAATTAATTGATAGTCATTTTCATTACCATCCTTCTGAGTTAAAAGTTCTTCAGCTTTTAAATTATTGTTTTCTTTAAATTCTATATTTTGATCAGATTTCTCAATTTCAAGATTGGAACTTTGGTATAATGATTCAAAAACTCCATGATCATCATTTTCAGTAGTTTTTTCATAACTCATCTCTGGAATTGTATTGATCCCATCACCTTCAATTTTTTTTGGGCTACCATTAGCTGTATAGTCATTTTCCATAGGTGAAAAAGTTTTTTCTTTTTGAGTGTTCTCTGAATTAATTAAGTTTTCATTTAATGCTTCTGAATTATCCCTATTCGCAAGTGAATTTGGATCCTTATTTTCTGATTGTATTTCACCAATTTCATTTCTTTCTATCTCAATCTTCTGAGCATGAATTTCTGCTTCTACAATTTCCTTGATTGGTAAACTATCAAGATCAACTGAACTGTCAAGCGGTTTTAGATTTATTTGCGATTCTCTTTCTATTTCCACTTCACTTCTATGTTGATTTTCCTTTGTAGAATCATCAATATCATTGATTTCAACAAAATCTTTATTTTTAGCTATATCTTCACTAGGAGTACCTTCCTTTGGTAATGATGTATGATTAATATTTTTGTTTAGAGTGTGTGAACCATCCTTCATTTCCAGAGGTTTTGTGTAGTTTGGATCAGAATCTGATTCAGCTCTGGCCCTACCTTCTCCAATAGAAGAATCTTGACTTGTGTAACCATCTCCATCTGTACTTTCTTCGTAACCTTTCCTTCCATGTTTTTCTTTATTGCGAAGGTAGTTTTTATCAACTAAGTACTTTGTTTTCCTTTTCCTTCTTCGCCTTTTTATCCTTTCTTCCCCTTCACCACCTTGAGGATGTTTGATCCTTCTTATCATGACACCATCTTCAACATATACCTGCAATAATTTAAATACCATTTATTTAAATTCCAAAATGATATTAATTTTTTATATATTTTTCATATCTATCAGTTATTTTCTTTCTTAATACTATAACTATATACAATTTTTTCCAACGATTGCAAACATGATTAAAAATAGTTAAGGGACAGAATATTATTTATTTTTTCATAGGAATAATTAAATGATATATAGCAGTCAATTTAAGATTATTTTATTGATACTAATCATTATAACCATCCCAAAAACCAAAAAAAGACTCAACAGACGTTTGAAGCTAAAGACACATAAGTATTCTTTTAAAAAGAATGATGATTCATATATCTCAAAATAATCTAATATCCAACAAACAATTTGGTTTCAGAAAACATCATTCAACAGTAGCCCAAATTGCCAGATTGACCAATTATGTTACTAAATCATTTAATGAAACGAAGTACGTTGGTATGCAACTTATAATCATAGAAAAAGCATTTGACATAGTATGGCATTCAGGCATTATTCATAAATTCAATGTACATCAATTCCCATCCTACATAATCCACCTTCTTCATTCATATCTCACCAACAGGTTTTTTTTCATCACAAAAAATAATGTAAATTCCCCAATCCATGTCTTATCTGCAAGTCTCCGTCAAGGATCCTGTCTTTCTACTACCCTATTTAATTTATATTGTATATTTTAAATCTCCCTTGCATATCTTCTTTCAGAATTGACACAATAGCTAATAGATTACAATCACACATTATAAAACTCACTAAATATTTTGAAAAATGGAAGATATAAAAATAAAAAAACGGAAACTATAATTTTCACATACAGAATACCATATATTAATTAATATAATTAATTAATCATAACCAGAGCCTAGATTTGAATGCAATTGCATATTTTGTTTGAACAAATATCTACACAAATCAGAACATGGTGATGAAATTAGCCAAAATTATTTTGTATATTTGAAGATAAATGTATATAATTGCATACTTTGATTAATTTAATGAAATAAATAATACTCACACACACACGTACGCACACAGGCACGCATACACATATATACTAATTAAAATGCAACATTGCAAGGCCAAGAGGGTGAAACTTTAGATGAAAAAATAGAAGTTTTTATAAAAAGTTTAGGTCTCACAATTCTGTAAGATATTAATAAAATTTTAAATGGTGAAGATTCAATTGTTCCCAGGGGCATTGATTTCAACCCGATAATTTTAAGTGCATATAATTTTACCTCTATCATGTTTGTTGATGTTGAAAGATCATTTTATAATTATAAAAATATTTTAAATTATAAATGGATTCGCAAAAGCAAATTTAGAAATCCATATGGTGATTAATTTTAATGCATAGTGTGTCTGCAAAAGAGACTAATTCAAATGTTTTATGTTATTTATTCCTCAAGCTGTTAATTATGTTATTGTTTCAAAGACTCTAGTTAGATTTTTATCCATTAACATGCACAATTCTGATGTGTTTACATACTTATTGTTTTTTTTCATTTGTATATACTTTATATTTTGTATGTTATTTTCTTTTATCATTATAATGTATATATATATATATATATATATATATATATATATATATATATATATATATTATAACCTTATTTTCTGTGTATGTTTAGTTATTTTCATTCTTTAATTTAGATTTTTAAAAAAAATATTGTAATTTTTAATCACTCCATAACTTATTTTTTGTTTCAAAACCTTTTGTAGGCACATCATTATATTAATGTACAGTAACTGACAGATCATTAATCAAGTAATTAGTAATTTAACCAAATTAAGTGATCAGTTACAGCATTTTTCATGTTTTTTTACTTTATATTTTGCTGCATATTTCAGGTTTTTTGACTGCATATTATATGGCATATTCTGTGGGTTATTAATGCTTAAAAATCCAGGCCTTGATCATAACATACATATAAAAGATGATCAAATCTCATGATTTGATATTTATACTCACAATTTAATAAGTCCCATTCACCCAACATACATATAATAAGTATAATCAAACAAAAAACATAATTAGCAAAATGTCCCCATATTTTAACAAATATTCCCAATTAACTTAAAAAAATAAATTAATTCCATATAAAGAAGTAATCCGACTTATTAGCTTTGGAGCCAAGACCAAAAAAGAGAACTTATCACAAGTGAAGGTTTGAATGTAAATTATGAAATTGTATAACATTTTTAACTAAAATAAGCTTTGTCAATCATTCCAAAACCGCTGTTTTCAAAAATGGAGGCCATGCAAAGAGGTCTAAATTTATCCAAAATGGCTCTCTTCAAAGGATAGACAAAACTTGAACTATATGAAAACAAGTAGGATATGCAGACAAAAGTTTTTGTATTCGACAAAAATCTAGTTTAATATACAAAGAGAAACAAACGTTTTCGAAAAAGTAAAAATGTTGAGTTTTAAAATACGTTTTTTGGAACATGTCTGTCCTACAAATTCAACCACCTAGGATGGACAGACAAAGTTTGTATACATAAACGTCTTCAAATATATAAAATATAATTATATATTTTTCCATTTTTAGCGACTGTTTGGGAAGGGCACCATTTTGGATTGACCGGGCTGTTGGTTTACTTGGAGACAGCATCATCGCACTCATTGCAGTTGTGATCTCAGACTGTCAGTACAAAGCAATAACCTATCAATGGTGTACTATCTTAATTAACCCAAATTTTTAATTAACAAGGAATATAAAGTTTCATATAGAAAAATTTCAAGTCACCTGAAATTGGTGAATTTATATAAGTCTGCCAGTGGAAAGGCAGCATTACGTAGGCAATCAACATTATTTCTTTATTATAAACCAGATCATTTCTTATTCTAAAATTTCAAACCTCCTGAAATTGGTGATTTTTTACACCGGAAATTCCAGTTTTTCAATTGCTTCTGCCAGTGGATTCATAGCATAGGCAGACAACATTATTTCCTTCTTTATATGGAGTTATACACGTGAGTCTAATTAAAGAAAACTAGAAGTAATTTGAAACATTCGTATGAGAATAACAAAACAACAACCCATGATACACTAAAATATCCACCATGTTATCGGAATTGCAACTTCCAACTAAATTTTTTTAAAACAAAGATTTTTTTACCTTACACCAGCCTCTGAAAATCCCATAATCCAAACAATAGGAAATTATGATAATAAATAACTAAAATGAAACACATACAAATGGACTAAACACATACTCCTAAAGTCAGAATAATGCTGTTTGCAAGTTATCAACAAATAATCAGTAGCAAAACCCTTCCCCACTAATTATTAAATTATTTATTCAGTTAAAAGAGATTTATCATTTTCTTTTGTTTAAACAATATATTGTTTTATTTTCTTTAATATCTGTAATTTAGTTTCTTTAATATCTTATGTAGGTTTTTATTATGTGTACTGTATAAAATACGTTTCTGCCAACTAAATAGCAATCACATCACTATTATAACATGTGTAAGGTAATTGTAACCACTGGTAAGTAATCATTATTACCGCATAGTGTATTGTAAAAATATGTAAATAAAAGATAATTTAGAATATATATATATATATATATATTTGCAGTTTTTCGCACTGAGTAGCAGTAGGAAAATTTATGAAATATATTATTAAGAAACATTTTGGAAGACACTAAGAAGTGGTGATATTCTTGAAATGCTGAACTGGATTTTATAAAATATTACAAAATAATTAGCATAAAAAACTACACTAAGGTAAGTAAAACAATTCAAATATCATATGGTAATTTATGAGTAGATTGTTATAAACATAGTTGAACAAATCTGATTATGAAACTATTTCAACAAAAACACTGTTTATAAATCAAATTCATACAAGTGTGTGTGTGTGTGTGTGTGTATATATATATATATATATATATATATATATATATATATATATATATATGGTACCAAATATTCATTCATCAATAATGAAGATTGTTTTCTCTTCTTTTCTAATTTTTTATTTATATATATTTCTCATATGTCTATTTTAGGCCAAAGGTCACCAAAAAAAAACACAGTTTTTTTTTATCTCCTGTATGCTTTATTCAACGTCTGCAAATATAGAAACGGAAAACGACATTCTTTGAAATAGAAGAATGAATTAGGACTAATCATATCGCAATGATAAATTTTAAAAATTGTATGGCGCGGTGCATGTTTTGCAGGTTCTTGAAAATGGCTCCTGAAGCCGAAACGTTGAATAAAGCATACAGGAGATAAAAAATTTTTTTTTTTTTGGTGACCTTTGGCCTAAAATAGACATATGATAAATTATGTGAAAATGGCACCAAACCCGAAGGATGTGACTAGAAAATTGTATATATTTCTTTATTTCCACATCAGGCTGCAATTTTCCTAACATATAAATAAAACTTATATACACATCGTGTTATCACCTGCAAGATTTTCTTTTGACCTGATATTTGAACATTATCTTGAAGAGGAGGATGTAAAGCCTTTTTGCTTGTTAGTTGCTCACCTACACCTCTTTCTTTTTCATTGTCCAATGGCTTTTGACTTTGAGCTCCTAAATTTCTAAAATAAATTAAGAAATATTACTAAATCATTCTGTGATTAATAAAATGTAAATTATAAATGTTATTAATAAGTAAATAAAGAAATATTTAAATGCATAGAATTGAGAACATTTATTCAAGACTGTACATGGGAAGGAGAACTGGAGGGGGTGGTCAGTAGTTGGCTTCACAAGAGAGGTTTAGTAGTATTTTTTTTCTTGATTTGATAATTTTACCGCAAAACATTAGATACATCTGTTTTCAATCAGAAGAGAATATCATTGTTTTTTTAAAGTTTTCAGTACTTAAAATGAAGTTTTGTATTTTTGGGTGGTCTCAAACATTAATCCGCCCTGGTTCCTATACGGTCTAGTTAATCCACTGCATCTTTTATGTTAATAAATCAAAATAATAAAATTAGGGAGTATGAGAATTAAAAAAGATTATTTCCAAAAGGGTAGTATTACCAATTTTGCTTTATTTCTTAAGATTTGATATTAATTTTGTAAATAAGTAATATAATTGAAGCGGAGAAATGTAAAAGGTCAGGTCAGAGTGCCTTTGATAAAATTTTCCAAAATTCTATTTAAAAAAAATGGAATAATATTCAAAAACTTACTTGATACTGATCTTAAGTAAGTTATCTTTATACTAGATTAGGATACTGCAAGCAGATTAGGTTAATGGATTCGTGCAAATGCTGTGAAAACCAAGTGTATGACCTCCGAGTTTGGTATATTAGCAGATTATCTGCAGTTTGGCTCCTATGAGTTTGAAAAAGTGAATGAGTTCATCTACCTGGGATCCCTGATAACTGCGGGAAATGACATTACAAAGGAAATTGAGAGGAGAAAACTCATTGCTAACCAATGTTACTTTGGGCTAGGAAGACATCTATCTAAGGAGCAAGTATCTCTCAAGGACAACAAAATTACGGCTGAATAAGACGTTGATCAGGACAGTCCTGACGTACAGCTCAGAGTCATGGGTAATATCATGGATGGATGATCAAAGTTTATTGGCATTCAAGAGAAGAATTCTGTGGCACATTTATGGACCTAGAAGAGACGGTTAAACATATCTCAGGAGGGGGAATAAAAAAATATAGAATCACCTTGGTGAACCTGAAGCATATTAGAGTGGGGAGGGTGAGGTGGGCTGGACATGTAGCACGAATATCAGAGGATGAGGTCCCCAGAAAAATAACGAGTGAGGCCATTCACAGTACCATGCATAAAGGAAGACCGCGTCTTAGATGGATGGATGGCATAGCAGAAGATGCCCGGACGATCCTAGGGGTCAGGGACTAGAGTACTGCTGCCCAAAGTTGTGCAGACTGGCAGAAGTTATTGGAGGAGGCCAGGGACAGTAATGGTCTGTCGAGCCAATGGAAGAAGAAGATCAGGATAATTTGAATATGACTTAATTAAAATGTTTTTTCTAATATTCTTTGATTGTATTAGAAATAAAATAATAGTGTGTAACTAAGAAGAGAGAACTGCAATATGCAAAGAAAAAAAAAATGTGATTTCAACTTCGCTGAAGGCAAATCAGTGTAACAAGGAAACCTAGGTACTTCTGCATTCCTATACTTCAATTATTCTTCCGTACCTAGAAGAAAACACTTGGTTGAAAGGTTTGAAGCATTTTAAAAATTAAATGGAAAGTTCAGTGACGAGAAAATGTAAGTATTTTTGGAAATTATGGTTAATTATTTTTACTAAGGGCCATAAAAGCATGGACCTTGGGTCAAAAAAAAAGAAAATGAAAAATAAATGTTTAAATTACACTCCAACAATATTAAGTTTTTATAGGAATAGTGATTGTCTTTGTACCTTGTGTTAGGACCACGAAGAGCAGCTGATTCGCTATTTAACCGAGCAGCTGGAACTCCACCATGCACCTGTAAATATTTCGCTGTGCCTCTATGTCCCTTATGCAATGCTGCATCTAAGGGTGTTGCAAGCATTCCTTTAGCTGTTCTCATAACGGGATTTACCAAAGAACCTGCATCTAGTAACACCTTAAAAAACACAACCATTATCTGTAATCTCTAAATATTATAAAATAAAACAGAAAGTTGTATACCATTTGAAGTAGAAACTTATTACTAATAAAAATATACAAAATAAGTTTTTTGTAATAATAAATAAATTTAGCTCTGTATGAATTATTCTCTAACTAATCTCTCTCTCTTTTCAATGACATGAGATGATTTATTTCTGTTCGATTATTATAAATAGGTACTTTACCTTACACATTTCTACATTATTATGAATAGCAGCAAGATGAAGTGGACACCTTCCATCATTATTTGGTGCAGTTATTGCATCAGGGCGAAGTGAAAGCAACCAAAGCACAAGATCAGTTCTACTAGATGTGACCGCTTCATGCAATGGATAATCTCCTCTGGCAGTTCTGGTCCAAAGATTACCTCCTCGGCTCCATACAACTTTAAGTGTTTCCATTTGCCCTTTGGCAGCTCCACAATGCATGGCACTGTATAACCAAACCTTAATTAATCAAATTGTTTTAAGTTTAAAAGTTAAAGGAACATCAGTTCCTGGAAGTTGACAAACTACTTCAATGGGAATAATCTAATTCATTAATTCATAATATTTAAAGTAAACAATATCTACAATTGATGAGTGACTATTAAACAAAATAAATTAAGATAAGTCTTATATTTGTGTTTTAGTGCTTTAAATACCCTTTGCAACATCTTCCATGATTTTTTATTTTTTATCTATGCCAATCCACACCATTCAAAGGCTAATAGTACCTGTAGGGTACCCATGTAAGGCTCCATAGTAAATAAATTCAATCTAATTTTTTTAATGTGGATTAATAAAAACTTACGTCCTGCCTTTCCTATCCTGTCGATTTGTATTTGCTCCATGGTTTAATAATGTTTGCGTGCAGTCAGCATGTCCCAATGTTACTGCATAGAATAGAGCCGAGCAACCATTGTTATCAATAACATCAGCCTCAGCATTGCAAAGTGAAATGAGGGTCTCCACACAATCTGTATGTCCCCGAGATGCAGCACAATGTAATGCTAAATCAATACAATTAAATAACAATAAATACATAAGATTAAGCTTAACTAACTACTGGCTATTATCAAGTCTGAGCTGTTAATTTACTTTAAAAAATACTGAACCACTCAGGAAAATTAGTACTATGATGGAGTATAAGCTGGATTAGAAATGTAAGGATATGATATAAAATTTGAAATATATCCTTTATAAGCTAAGTAGGACTACGATAAATAGTAGCCATATAATTTATAAGTTAAATTTATGTTTAAAATGAACAGTTGATTACATACATGAATCAACCTTTATCTTTCAAGATATATCTTCATAATATTTCATAATTATATATATATATATATGTATGTATATATATATATATATAAAACATACAATCAATGACATTCATTTTTACTTTTATCGCTAGTTTTTTGAGTCTGGATTAAGAAGAAGATATTAAGAAATATACAAGTATGCCTATAATATTGGGGAATTTACATACAAGTAAGACTTGACACTTGCCTGTGGTGTTAATTTTTAGGGATCAGCAAAATTTGGGTGAAATTATATTTCCAACTATAATAGAACAGTTCAATTAAACACACAAATATGAAAATTATTTTTTAACTATATATAATAAGATATAAGAATCGCTAGAAGTGGTAGCAATATATGTAATGTCTGTGGGCGGCTGTACAAGTACAACAATTCGGATCCTAAATCATACCAAGAAATATAATTTTGTCCATAAACCATTTTTGTTTATCAAAACTTGATTAAATCAAATCATTCAATATTGTTTTAGTAGAGGCATAAGCTTATAATGCTATATAAACAACTTATAAGGTAATTAATAGTTACCTGTTAATCCATCTTTGTCAGCTGCTTCAACATTAGCTCCTGCATTTGTCAGTACTAGTATTGCTTCAGAACTTCCTAAGCAATAAGAAATGTTAAAACATTGCAAATGTTTTATCGTTGCAACTAAATCTATCGTATTAAAAAGAGACAGTGTTGTAGCATAAAAGAAAGCCCTTAATAAAATTGGTAGAAAATTACGATCCCATAAGATTGCTACTTATGATGCATTTTGAAAATTTGTCTAGTTTGAGGAACTTATCAAAATATTTTGATATTCTATATCTATTATAATTGTGGGTAAATGGTTGACCGACGTGAATAATGAAAAGAAGAATAGTTGGAGTGATCAGTCAAATAAGATCATTTATTTTTGCCTTTTTATTTGACTGATAACCCCAACTATTCTTCTCTTCTTCATTCTATATCTATTATAATTTGAGGCGAAAATGTCTCACATTGTTCATGACATTTTGTTTGATTTCTTAATTTTTGTTAAGAAGAGATTTTGATTATTACAAAAACTCTTCTGTATATTACAAAAACATTTATGCCATTTAAATTGAAATATTTAATACCCGCGCTGGCTGCCCAAAGGATAGGTGTGCGCCCATGGTGGTCTGCAATGTTCGGATCTGCGAAGTGATTAATGAGCAATCGGAGAGCTGTCATTCCTAAGCGGCGGTCTCCGGGCATCTCGCTCCCAGGTCCGCACATCTGAGCCGCGTAGTGAAGGGGGCATCCTCCGTGCATGTCCCCGATGTTTGGGTCCGCCTTCTTCTTAAGGATCAGCTCCAAACACTCTATTTCTCCACAAACTGTACAATTGATACATGATAAACACTTACATGGTAAATATTGGTGAAAAAAGTTATATAGAACAAGTTTAATAAATCATTCCCAGTTTTTTTTTTTAGATTTATACCGTCGATAATTTGTTTGGTAGTAGACATATACATCAGGAGTGGTATTGTATAAATATTTACAAATATTTATTACGACGTGGTAAAAAAATGGGAAATCTCGTTACAGGCATGATAATTTTACTTGTAGCAAGATCTGATACTAGGTACAGAATATTCAGTGATTTCTTGTACTTGAACTAACCATCAATCGAAGATTTAACTAATCCAATAATTATTTATTTTTATTTTTTATAAATAAAAACACTGGTTATCATTTCTAACATCTTTTGTAAAGAATCTTTTACGACGAAAATGACAGATTCGGTGATTCATGAAGCTGTTTTAACGGATAAATGTGTATTAAGATCAACATCTTCCAACATCTGACCGCTGTGAGGGAAATGATATTAGAATAGTGAATCGTATAATTCATTAAAGCTCAAAAAAATCACAAATATTTGTCGTATTAAAGACGCATTTTTGCATATAAAGAGTGAAGTCCGAAAATATTATCTATTTTTTCAAAGACGAAAAAATTGTATAATGGAATATAGCTTATCATGTTTTACAAATGGTCTGTAAGGATAAAAGTGGTAAACAAATAAGTAAATAAAAAAAGTAATTAAAAAATAAATTAAGCCACAATAACCCATGGTGTTTGTAATCAAACGTCTTGGCATTTGTGAGGAAGTACTCTTTTCAGAACAATAGTTATGGAGTGAAATGATTTGGTAAAGATCATACTCCATACCCAAGTTTTTCCGTAATTAATGTTACCTAGTTCGATCCTAGCATTGATTCACGTTAAATCCTAGCGTGATCCTAGGGTAAGTTGATAAATCTAATAATAAGGTTCAGTATCACTTCTTAAGGTGATCCGGGCATACTCCACTGTAACCATTTATACAAACAGAGGATTTACTCAACTTTCTAATAATACAAATTTATGAAGCATGATTCACAAAACATGGAATAGTGGCCATGATGGCCGAGTGTGTTAAGGTGTTGCCTTAGCAACCTCTCGTCAAACGCCGGTTTGAAATGAATTCCTTAACGGACCCAGAGAATGAATCACAACCTTCGCACTCTAGGCTAGATTGGATACTTGTTGGATGACCTGTCCCTACTGCCCTACTTGAAGTACGTAAAAGTAGCTTTTTAACATAGCTTGGAATTCACATAAAAAAAAATTGTTATAAGATAATAAAAAAGAAACTGTTTTACAACATAAACCGGTGGTTTATATACTTGACAAAATATTTATAAGATAACTAGATTCATGGCTTTCTCGATACTACTTCTACTGGGTGTGTGAATAAGTTCCTGCCGTTTTTATAATAAAAATGAAAACTTTATTTATAAAGAATGGTTAGCCGCAGGTCATTCAAAGTATTGTCCATTGCTTGCCACTACTTTCTACCATCTTTCAGGTAACATACGGATTCCACGTTGAAAATAGAAATGTATTTTGAGGCTAGCCAATCATCGATCCATTTTTTAGTTTTGTCATAAGAATGGAAGCACTGCTGAGTCAGGTCGTGAGTCAGCAATCGGAATTAGTGGTAATTGGATGTGGCAATGTCTAGTGACAGCGGGTGACAAAGGCGGATCTACGGGGAAGGGGCTTTCAGGCTGAAGCCCCCCCCAAAAAATGGTAAAATATTACTATGTCTTAAGGAAAAAGTATTTTAAAAACATCTTTATAAGTATTATTGTTCGTGTAATTACATTTAACGGGACTTCATGAATCACTTAAACACCATTTCGTATAGGTAGTTAGTTTCTTTCTTTTTCTTCCAAAATAATTATCGTTATATTAAAAAAAAAAAGCTTTCATGCTGAAGCCTCCGCCAAAATGAAATCCTGGTTCCACTAGTTGCGGGTGGGGCATAAGTTCCCATTTCAGCGTTTCCAAATAAGATTTAACCGAGTTTGCAACATGTGGTCGAGCGTTATTATACAGTAAAATTACCTTATCGTGTCTCTGCTCGTACTGCGGCCTATTTTGCTTCAGGGCTTGACTCAAACACATCAATGGTACCCTATGTCTATATCCTGTGATGGTTTCGGGGTTGAAGTAATTCGTTTTTTCTTTTTCTTCGTTCGGGCTACTGGACGGCCGTCATCTCCAAGCTCAAACTCATTGTTTTAAAGCCACTGTTCTATGCCCTTCAGCCACAGTTTTCTTTTGGAAAAAAATATTATAATAAAATTTCCCACAAAAAAGATTTTGAGGGTACGAAGTTCTCCATGCTTGGAGAGATATGAACAACGTTATGTACACTTTGAGTATTTAAAATAGGTTGATGACCCGAGTAATGAGGATTAGCTCTTGAATAAAGTTCGTTTCAGTGTTGCCAGATGCACGTAGGTAAACAAAAATTCTCTAGATAACAAACGGCGGGAACTTATTCAAACACCCAATACTTGAATTGCTGTTGGTTCTTATCCTTACTTCGTCCTCTGTAAAACATATCTAAAAAAGTAGTAGGGATGTTATTCGCATTTGATGATTGGTAAGAATTGTGAAAACTTAAGAACTATGGAAAGACTTTTCCAAACTGGAGTAACTAACCCGTGGCCCAATGCGCAGACGTGTGACCCTCCTTGTCGGCTGTGTTGACGTCGGCTCCCTGGGATATGAGGAGCTTGGCGAGCTGGACGTTGCCGGCGATGACAGCCAAGTGGAGGGCGGTGTAGCCATCCTGGTCCTGAGCGAAGACCAGCTCGGGGGCGGCCCTCAGCAAGGCGGCCGCACTCTCCACCCCTCCATCGCCACTCTCCGCGCAATAGTGAAGTGCTGTCTTCAAGCTTCGCTCCCTCTCCAGGATAGTATCAGGCTGAAATTGAAATTCGTATCAATCCAAAATATGATAATAGAGCTGTTGTAAAGTGAAAATAAAAATAATTTACTTAAACATTTAAGTTTTTTATTTGATTGAATTTTTTTTTTATTTCTTTATGACATTTACAACTGTATTACATAAATACATCAAGTAAATTTGGACATAATTGATATAATGACATGAATACACTTGCTGAGTAATACCCAATGGTAGCACTCTAATGATATGACTACATTAGGAGATCACGGGACCATCTTCTTTTCAGACGCCTCGGAGGGTTATCAGGAATTGAAGAGGAAGCAAGGTGAGAAACGATAGGGTTGGGATGATTCTGAAGTTTATTATGGAAGGATAGGTATCTGGATTGGGCCAGATCTGAGACATAAGGAACATTAACATCTTTATGGATAATTTTATTAGTGACAAAGTAAGGAGCATTGAGGATTTTACGAAGGATTTTGGATTGTAAGGATTGGATGCGAGAGGAATTCGATGGTTTAGTGGAGCCCCATAGCTCAACTCCGTAAGTCCAAATAGGTCTTATTATAGTCAAGTATATAAGTCTTTTGTAATTAATGGGAAGTTTAGAGCGTTTGTCTAGTAAGTGCTGAAGTAATCGGAAACGTCGAGCGGTTTCTTGTCGTTTCATTCTAGTATGAGGATTCCATGATTGAAATTTAAAACTGTAAACAAATATACAAGTAAATTTGATATAGGAATATATTACATGAAGGTACTTGTGAAGAAGCAACCCATTGGTAACACTTCAAAGATAAATTAATTTAGGAGGTCCATTGGCCATCTTCTTTTCAGACGTCTCCGAGGATTGTCAGGAATTGTGTTGGATGAAAGGTTACAAACTAGAGAATTGGGGTGTCCAAAGAGTTTGGAATGAAAAGCGGTATATCTAGTTCGGGCCAAGTCTTCCACAAAAAGAATGTTGAGGTCTTTATGGATAATTTTATTTGTTACATAATAAGGAGCATTTAGGATTTTACGGAGGATCGTAAGGATACGGGAAGAATTTGATGTTTTTGTAGAGCCCCAAAGCTCAATATCGTATGTCCAAATGGGCCTGATGATGGTAGTGTAAATGAGTCTTTATTAGAATATTGGAAGGTTAGAGCGTTTGTCAAGTAAGTGTTGTAGTAGTCGGAATCTGTTGGCAGTTTATTGTCTTTTAAGACTAGTATGAGGATTCCAGGAAAGGCGTTTGTCAAGAAGGAGTCCTAGGTCACGGATCTGTTCAACAGAAACATTTAATTTTAAATTGTATTTCACTTGTGAAGTTCTGTCGGGGCCTCACAATAGGAATAGTCTGGGAGTGCTGAGCCCTAGAGAAATGAATTACTACTAGCGAAAAGAGTTATTACCGGTACTGACCAGAGATCCAGAGATCAGAGATTAAATTTGAGATTTTTTCTTTTTAAAATGTTGATTTTAGAAGTATATATGTATATGTATATATATATATATATATATATATATATATATAATTTTTTTGTTATATATAAATATATATATATATATATATATATATATATATATATATATATATATATATATATATATATATATATATATGTATATGTATGGTTAGACATTTTTTTTTTTTTAAGCGGTCTGAGATGTCACAATTAAATAAAAATTGTTATCGAAAATGTCGGAATTGTACAGTAAACTATTAACCTAACTTGTGATAGACGCTTAACTTGATAAGATGCAAAACCGTTAGCACGAAACTTCATTCAGTGACCACTCTGTGCTAACCTAGTAATATGTTATTAGCTTTGTTTTTAAACTCGACGCTAATTCCATCGATGGAATTCATCAGTGATAGAGAGCAATGAATATTAAGATTAGAAAAGGTATTTCTCTGTACAAATTTACTTGATGTATTTATACTAATACAGTTGTAAATATCATAATAAAAGTTTAAAAAAAAAAAAAAAAGAAAAGGTAGACAATCCAAGGAGATAACAAAACACATAAGCAATGTTTTGATTCTGAAATTACTGACATTTTTTTCGACAGTGGAATGTAAGCGGATATAAAATGAAACAGATACACATGAGAAAAAGAGCAAAGAAATATCTACTTTCTGTCTTATTGATTTTGAAAACAGAAACAACTTTCATCTGAGTAACTGATAAAAAAATTCAATTGCTTAGGCGGTATGGGTTCTAGTGATTACCTTTGTCTGGATGATTTCGTTGACTTGGCTCTCCTTTCCTTGCTGGCAGGCGTACATGAGAGATGTGGCACCCAGCTTCACTGTCACTCCAGTCATCTCTTAACTACCTATATTAAAATTTAAATATTAAAATTTATTTAACTAACAAACCAAAGAATCTAAATTGATATACAATTTCTTTTGACATTACACAAGGGTACCCAGAAGGGAGTATCATTTTTTGAGGGAAGCACATTTTGAATTTTTAAAGGCAGTAAATTTCGACGGGATTATGATTTTTCGGAGTGAAAAGTGTCAATCATGGGAACAAGAGGACAAAACATTTTTTTCCAATTATACTTTCGCTCTACTGTTTTTAAGAAGAAGGGAGCAATAAAATTTCTTAGGAGGAATGGGGAAGCTCACGTGCCGTTGACTTTGAGGGAGGATGGGCACCCTTGACATTATATGATACAGAATGTAACTACCTATGTTTTGAAAAGCAGGCTACTGCTCTAATATCATCATTGAAAATTTCTTATAAGGTTCAGAATAAACGTATAGGTGAGAAAATTGAAATTATGAAATATTTTTGAAAAGCGGAAGTCAACCGAGAAGCAACGACTTCAGGGAAGACTGAATGAGTAGTGCAGAAAAATCGAACATACTTTATAATGGATAAAAAGATTTCTTCAGGAAGGGAATACTTCCGAAAATGGCAGAAAATCAATTACAGCTGGCAATAAGTGTTTTTTTGCCCTGGCAAAAATACTGAAATCCAAGGAACTGAGCTGGAATACAAAAGTAACAATTTATGAAACCATTATAAGGCCAGTCGTTACCTACACAGGCACACCTCTCTGACACAGGAAAGTGAGAGGTTGCTGATAATCTGGGAGAGAAAAGTCTTAAGGAAAATATACGGTCCGAAGAAAATAAATGACCAGTGGCGAGTACGGAAAAATGACGAGCTCTATGAGCTGTTTAAAAATGATGATATTGTAGCCACTGTCAAAAGGAGCCTAGGAGGTTGCCTAGGAAACTTCACTATAACCGCCCAGGAGGAGCACGTCTTAGGGGAAGAACCCGGCTGCGGTGGATCAACGACGTGGAGGAAGACCTCAGCCGTATGGGTATCAGAAGATGGAGAAGAATAGCTGCCGATAGGAAAGCCTAGCGGACGCTTGTTTCTGACGCCCAGGTCCATTAAGGACTGTAGAGCATAAATAAAGGTGGAGAATGGAGTAGTATGCGAGTCTTTAAAACGTTACTATTAAAAAATGCAAGTCCAGCAGTCCCATGGAGTAAGTAGAGGATAAAAGTAACGTGGAAATGAGTCAAGTTTAGAATTATTTACAGTCGCGGTCATAGAAATTGCATCACATATTTCTTATTTCTTCACATATGTTGATTGAATGTTTTTGTTTTTCTTTACTTATTAAGGTTACAAGAAAACTTTAACAATGTTTCTCAGTTCAGTTTTTACAAATGCCAGGATAAAACCTGTAATTATGTATCGAAAACCTGTATCAAAAATTGTCCATGTAAGAAAATATTAAAATTGTAACGATACATAAAGTAAAGGAATTTTCCACGGAAAATAGTAAAGAGTATAGAGTACCAGAAATGGACGGTAGTCGTAGTTGAGAAAAAAATCTGGTGACGTGCGCGCATCACTCAACTTTCACTTACCACCTTCTTCTTAGCTTAAATAAATATTTTCAGACAAAGCGAAATGAAAGTAGAAATTATAGACTCTATTTCTATTTCTATTTCATTGTGGATATTTTTATTTGTATAAGTACCCTCATATATACAAATTTTAATATTTATATCGCTGTAATCTATACAGTTGAATATTAAATAATATCAAAAATAGTATTTATGAAAACTACATATGTATATTTATATAATATTGTAGGAGTCCATATTATATTAATCTCATGATACGTATGGAAGCGTGTTTAATCTTTCGGGCGAGCTTGGGTGCGTTCTTATTCCTCTGGTTAAATAATTACCACTCTTCTCCGTTACGATCTCTTGTTTCTCCTTTAGTTAATTATGAAATTCTTTAATATTTTATATTTAATCATTTTTCATAATATAAATTAATGCGAAATGGTCAATTGTTTCAAATAAAAAAAATTAAAGTTGCTTTAGAGGAATCTATTATTGAAAATTAGCCATTTAAGCCCTGTTAGAGAACATCATTCAGAATAATAACCACCAAATCAGGCAAAAAATATCCGGAGATCTAGCAGATAGCGATCTGGTACATAAAATGAAATTTAATACAATTTTTACTCGGTGATGCAATTTCTATGATCGCGACTTTAGTTATTTAGGTTTGTATCTAATTTAAATTTGGAAATACGTTCTTTATGGTAATGCTTAAATGTTTTTTTAAATCAGTTTAAGCAATTAATTGAGTAAATAGTAGTGGTCACAGTGGACTCAAACAGATTAAACAACAATTTTAAAGTTCAAAGTTGATACAATTGATTGATTATTTATTATGAATATGACTTTCGTCACTTTTGCATTCAATCACTCAACTATCATGTTGCTTACGAAAGCGTATAGTGGTATTTTCGAGACAGCACTGTCCTATTCAGCACTAATTAGTCCTACTTACCGGAATAGTTCCGTAAAAACTTCTCAAATGATTTTAGAAATCGTTTAAATTTACGGATGATAAACGTAACTGTTATTATCAAGTACAAAAAATATGGTTCACACAAAAGGAAATACGAAACCAAGTATAATATTTAAGTCGGGTGAATATCAACTATATTAACGTGTTACTTTTAATAGCCCTGAAGGTTTGATTGTAATTACGAAAGCGTATGTTATTCTGAATAAAAAGCACCTTGTCTGCCGTTCCGGAGCCATTTTTAATTTCAAAAATGGTGGCTGATTTAAAGAATATTAGGCCAATAATTTGAGGGTCGAAACGGGAAATCCATTGCGAAAAATGTGAGAAAATTTTTTTTTTAACTTGTATATATGGGTTTAGACATGTAAAAAACAAAATTTCTAACGCGGGCCACCAAGGGAAAACTTTTTACAGCCAAACAAAGTCAGACTTTTTCGATATATATATTTTTTTTTCACCTATAACTCATAAACGATGCATCAAAGGGGAAAATGTATTGTTTAATAAATTAAATAACGTTAAATTTTGCGTGAAACAAATACATAAGCTTTATAATTTGGTTACGTGGTCAGGTATAAAACCACGGTCAACCAACGCTGATTTTTACCAAATTTGTATAAATTGAGATAAATTACTATAAATGGCACTGTAACTTGGAAATGAGTTCTCTTAGAGGAAAACACATAGAATCAAAGTTGTAGAGCATCAAATTTTGCGTCAACATTTTTCGCAATGGATTTCCCGTTTCGATTCTCAAATCATTGCCGTAATATTCTTTAAATCAGCCGCCATTTTTGAAGTCAGCGGCTCTGGAACGGCAGACAAGGTTCGTTTTACTCATACAATAACATACTCTTTCGTAATTTACAATCAAACCTTAGCCTGCGATCAGGTCGATTTTCGGGCCCTGGCTACAAAGGTCACGCAGTCTATACGAAAAATGAACATAAATATTGACTGCGGATAAATGTGAAATCGATGCTAATCTACTTGCTATCAGATGAAATCCAAGTTCTGGAGATGACTTTAACAACACCTGAGTAATGTAATACTAATTATATTTTTAATTGTGATGGTTGACTGTAGTGAATAATTGAAGAGAAGGGTGGTTGGGATGATCAGTCAAAATAAAAAAATAGTAAAAATAATTAATTATATTTATTTTTATATTTTCCGACGTTTCGTTCAGTTGAAGCCTTCATCAGGTCTAAAAAAAAAAAAAAATTGAATGCACAGGAACCAAGATGCAAGGCACTTTCAGTCCCTCCGATATTTGTGAAGAGGGTTCAATAAAAAGTTTAGTAAACCGCATAGGTAATAATTATGTAACATTAAAAATAATAAGCTGATTATTTAACATTATGCATTGTGTTCCTTCTTCTCTACCCCTCCCCCTCCCCCAATATTTCCGAAGTGCCGACATCTATGATGGGTTTGTGCAGTCTACTGAGAGAAAGAGGAGGTACGGCTACTGTAAGATAGGACAGCATACATTTTTAACATTTTTTTTTAATGGAGTTTGATTGGATGACAACGAATTGGTCTTTATGGTTGCCGTATATCAAAATCATTGATTTGCAGAGGCGTTTTTGAAATTTTCCATATAAAATAGGGATCTGCTTTTCATGTATTTAATGAAGTTTAATAGCATGTATGTTCAAAAGATACGTAGCAGTGGTAGTTTTCAAGAAAATCAAAAGTAAAAAATAACCGCGTTTGTACCACTATTGGAAATTCGGTCTCTTTTACAGCGCGTTATAACGATTGATCGCAACTTTACAAACATAGAATGTACTCAATGTTCTTTATTTTATTTTTGTATTTTATCTTTTCGAAAAACCTAATAGTTTTCGAGGTATAGATGGAAAAAAAAATAATGTCCAGGTAAAATTTCTGTCAGCAAATCGTCGAGGGCAACTGCCAAGCCCCATTGCCTCTTGTTTTTTTAGCAGTAGTACCTTAATAGAACCTGTTTAACCTTCGACATTTACGATATTATCAGAACTTCATTATTCAAAATAAAGGCCGCTAAAAAACAGGAGAGAAGCAGAACAGACAAGACCAGCAGAAGAGACCAGGATGATAAAGAAGAGGCCATTTTGAGTCAAGCAAATGTTAGCAGTTTATGCTAATTGAATGCTAAGGTATACAGTTGCAGTAAGAGAAGATACAAGATTCATGAAACTGTTTTTTTTTCATGTCAAATTTTGAGTGTTAACAAGGCTATAAATTAATGAATATTAACAGCAAATATCTAAATGTGAAGTTAATAAAAAAGAATATATATCACAAGTATTTTGTTTTGTTTTTTTATAACACTTGGATTTTTTTAATTAATAAAAAAAAAATGTTTAGTAAAAGAAACAAAAAAAAATTATAAATAGCAACATCTATGGTTAATTTTCAAAACTGAACGAACATTTGTACATTTAACTTAAATCATGGTACCTAAGAGATTTTT